CGCACAAACACATATATATATAAAAAAATTTCCTCAAACTCATTGTTTCCCCCGTTGTTTAAACAAACTCAACAAATTTCTATTTTCCAACAAAACTAACAACAACAACAACAATCAATAATCAATCGGTGATAAGAAAGAAATAATAATAATAATTATTATTATTATTAGTTTTAGTGATTTAATTATTTGGTGGTGTTAATAATAATAATAATAATGGAAAAAGAATCACTCGTTAAAATCCCAAACGGATTTAATAATGGCGAATATTTAAATAATAATAAAAACAAAAATCATTGGTGTCCATTTTTTTTATTGACCGTTATCATTGTTATCATATATTCGTTAACGACTATTTGGTATTTAAAAACGGAAATGACACAACATGAAATGGAATTGAAAAGAAGCATTCAAACGCTTAAATTGGTAAGTTATTATTATTATTATTATTATTTTTTAATAATTATTCGGGAAACGAACCTTCACGTGGTGTCGTTTGTTATTGTTTAAATAAAGTACTGATAAGTTATCAATTTAAAAAAAAAAACATTTGGGATGGACTACTCGGGTCATCAAGTATTTTTTTTTAAAGATTTTTCCGAACAATCGAATATTTTTCTCCTCCGTTTGTTATATCGGTTGTTTGTTCGTTTGTTAGTAACGATACCGGATAACGAAAAAAAAAAAAAAAAAAAAAATGATAAATCCTTATTCGAAGGCGTATAGGAAAACAAACGAGGAAGTTTTTCGATTATGTTTTGACTGACACATTCAAGGAATTTATCCCGTATTTGGTTAGAAAATTCGAGAAAAAAAAGAAAATTTTTCACGTGTGTGAAAAACGCACGCGCACGTACACACGCACAATCCACATAAATAATAATAATTGCAACGATAATAACAATCTTCAACAACACCCAAAAAAAAAAAAAAAATTTGTCAACCTTGATCGAATTTTTTTTTCCCACATATATCCGGTTCAACAAACAAATTTTCTTTGAATTTTTTTTTTCTGCTGCCACGATCAAGAAACGTTAGATTTTTAAAAAGAAACAAACAAACAGGGTTAACCGCTTGTCGAAATTCTCCATATTTTTTTTTTTTTAAATTTATTTTCAACCACCCCATTTTAAACATGGCGACGACGACGACAAACATTTCTTAAAAGTAAATAAAAAATTTTTTTCTTTCGCCATAACACGTGTTTTTTTTTGGAAATCTGGACAACAGATGATGATGATTATGTGAATACAATAACAAACAAAACATCTGACTTTGACTAATCAATGGATAAAAAATAAATAACGATAACAAAAGTGATTCATTTTTAACATCAAACAAACAAACAAACAAACAAAAGAGTTTTGGATTATTTTTTTCTTCTTACCAACACTAACGAACGCTTTTTTAAAAACGTTCGAATAAATTATTATACGATTCCGGGTATATTATTATTATTATTATTATTATTATTATTTAAATAAATTAAATAAAAAATGGCGCCAATATAAATCGTGAGATTTAATTAAAATCGAAGGAAAACCGGTTAGAATAGCTTTGAATTTGATTAATTACCTTTTATATTATTATGTATCGTGTAGTAATACGTGTGAAATATTATTATTATTATTATTATTATTATTATTAATAAATGTCAATAACGTTTGTTTGTTACGTCAAAAAATTTTTTTATAATTTATTGAATCGTTTTTACGAGAAAGTCAGGAAACAATAGAGTGGGGACCATTTAAATTTTAATAAAGGTGGACTTGTATAACAAACAAACCGGTATTACCTTTCACAACTTATGGAAAACAAACGAGGAAGATGACGACAACAATAACAACAACAACAACAACACGTCATTTATTAAAAGGGAATACAAACAAACGGACGAGAAAAAATAAATAAATAAATAACTGACGACATAATTATTATTAAAAAATAAATAAATCGTTACGTGAGTCTAATCCCTAAGGGATATTTATCGACTTTGTTTCCTTGATTTATTCCAGAAATTTCCAGAAAAAAAAAAAAAACAAGATTATTACGCACGCATTTTCTATATATACGTATTTAAATTTTGACGTGTCATTAACCGTCATCATACGTCATCAATCGTAACGTGACGCGTTTAAACATTTTTTTCTTTACTTAACTTACGTGGGGCGGGGGGGGTGATATTTACAAATGGCGTCGTCGGAAAATTTAAAAAATTCGTTTTTTTCAATTTCAGTTGGAAAATGTCATCAATTTCCGAATAGAAGATTTAACAAATTTAAAAGAAGAAAATAAAAAAATTTTAGAATTTCGTACAACAGATGATGATGATGATGAAAACGAATCAGAATCGGAAAATTTGGGAAAAAATGAAAATTTCGAAAATGATTACATAAATGATGATGATGATGATGAGGATGAGGATGACGATGATGATGATGATGATGAAAATTATTCCATTTCGTCCGAATCGAATGTAAAAATTAAAAAAAAACGTGAAATAAGACAACAAGAAGAAGAAGATGAAGAAGACGAAGTTTTAAATGAGAAACAAAACAAAACCGAAAATAAACATAATCATCATCATCATCATCATCATCGTGATAAAAAAATATCACGTGACGAAAGTACATCGACCGAACGTTATAATAATGAAAAAAAAACAACGGATTATTATTATTCATCGTCAAAGGAAAAATTTATACCATCAACGTACGTTATAACGAAAAAACTTAAAAGGAAACATAGGAAATCGAGGTGAGTTAGCATCCCCCCCCCAAATTGATCCCCTAACGATCCCTAATAATCCCACCATCAAACATTTCATTCGAGGACCCAAAATTCGAACGTATTATAATAATAATAATAATAATAATAAAATTCAAAGGTCAATGTCACCGATAAAATGATAACATTTGACCATTTATGGAATCAATCAATTTTTTTAACTGGAACTGGAATTCGAATGAATAACTCGTTCAAATAAGATTTTAAATAATAATAATAATAATAATAATAATCTTATTTCTTCGACAAAATTCCTTTTCTTATCCGAAATCTTTTCCATCTTATTTTTTTTTTTTTTTTTTTTTTTTTATAAATCGTTAGAATCGGTTCGGCTGAAAGATTTTTTACTGAAACACATTCGACAACAGCAGCACCCATACAAGTAAGACGTTCACGTACGAAAGCAACACAAGAACAAGATGGTGAGAAAGTCATTTGGATACCTAAACAAAAGGTATATATAAAAAATTTACATGTTTTCCAAACCGGAAACGGAAATTTTGTAATAATTAGAAAATATTATACCGACAGTTTGAACAACACATGTCACCCTTAAGAGACACGATAACGAGAGAAGAAGCTTTTTCGAAAGGATATCGTAAATACATAGACGACGATGATGATAATAATAATAATTACGAGATCGAAGTGGGAAAAGACCGTTCGTTCGACTCCCCACAATATAATATGATAATGATACATTT